AGGTATCATGTGCCAAGTTTATGCTGGTTGGAGCAACAAGCTATTTATGGGAGACTATTTCACACACCAGAACAGAAGTGCAATAACATGCTATAACGTGGGCATAGTTCAAAGAAGAAGTGACGAGTAAGTACTTTTCCCAATCTTTGAGGGATCGGAGAGAGGCAGAATTCTTACAGCTAAAATAAGGAAATATGTGTCCTGATAAGTATGAAAGGAATTTTAAACAACTTTCTAGGTATGCTACCCACCTTATGGATATCGAGCCAAAGAAGGTTAGGAGGTTTGAACTAAGGTCGCGTGCAGAGATTGGAGAAATCATGGCATCTTACCATACGACTACCTATAGTGAAGAGCTTCAGCAGGCTCAATTAATTTCTGATCGTCTAGAAATGAATCGAATGACTAAGAAAAATAATGAATCATATGGAAAATGAAAGTGGAATGGATTGAATAAAGGAAAAGCATTTGGACAATTTAAGAGTGTTAATACAAAATCGAGATCAAGTAAACCAAATAAAGTTACTCCATGATGCCCAAAGTGCAACAAGGCCCATAAAGGAAAAGTGCTTGTTTGGGAAAAATGTGTACTATCGATGTGGCGAGGAAGGCCATTTTACTCTGAACTGCAAGGCATACAAACCTAAGAAGGACAATGAGCAGGGCAAGAAAGTGAAAGCCAAAGACTAAAAGTGGAATGGATTGAATAAAGGAAAAGCATTTGGACAATTTAAGAGTGTTAATACAAAATCGAGATCAAGTAAACGAAATAAAGTTACTCCATGATGCCCAAAGTGCAACAAGGCCCATAAAGGAAAAGTGCTTGTTTGGGAAAAATGTGTACTATCGATGTGGCTAGGAAGGCCATTTTACTCTGAACTGCAAGGCATACAAACCTAAGAAGGACAATGAGCAGGGCAAGAAAGTGAAAGCCAAAGACTTTGCTTTAAGCTAAGAAAAGGCAACAGAGGATCCGAATGTAATGGCAGGTATACTATTAATATCTGAATTACCTGCATATGTTCTTATAGACTCCGGAAATATTCATTCATTTATCTCCACCGCATTTATTGCTAAACCATGTGCTGCAAGTGAAAATTTTGATAGTGTTCTAGAAATTTTCATTCCATTGGGTAGATTTTGAATACCAATCCGATCGCTAGGGCAGTAAAATTAATCATACAAGGAATTGAATTGTAGCTAATCTACACCTCCTAGATATGAAAGACTTTGACATTATTCTAGGAATGGACTGATTGGGGAGCAATCACACAACCATTCGATGTTTTGAAAAGGAAGTAATTTTTTAGAAGCCTGGGAAGGAAGAGTTTCGATTTTTCATTGTACGAGTTAAGTCTTTACCTATACTAGTGTCGACCATAAAAGGTAAAAAATGTGTTAAAGAAAAGATCTAGCTAGAGATTTCTAGTGAGTATACATGGAACTCAACAATCGGAGCTTACTATTGGTAATGTGCTGATTGTATGAGATTTTATCGATGTATTTCCTGATGACTTACCTGACACACTACCTAATAGGCAATTAGAGTTTACAACTGACCTCGTGCCTTGAGAAACTCTAGTGTCTAAATCTCTATATAGGATGGCACCAAAAGACTTACAAGAATTAAAGTTACAGCTGCAGGAATTGTTGGTTAAAGGTTTCATTCGATCGAGTACATCTCCTAGGGGTGTATCGATTTTGTTTGTGAAAAAAAATGATGGATCAATGAGATTATGCATTGATTATAGGGAATTGAATCGATTGATAGTAAAAAACAAATATCCCCTTCCTCGGATTGAAGATCTCTTTGATCAGTTGAATGGTGCAACAGTACTTTCCAAAATTGATTTGAGGTCGGCTATCTTCAGCTGAAGGTGAAGGCAGATGACATTCCAAAGACAGCATTTAGAACTCACTATGGTCATTATGAGTTCATGGTAATACCCTTTGGATTAACAAATGCTTTTGTAGTAGTTATGGATTTAATGAATAGGGTATTTCGTCAGTATTTATATCAATTTGTCATTGTCTTCATTGGTGACATTTTGGTGCATTCAAAGAATAAGGATAAACATGCAGAATTACTCAAGATAGTGTTGGAGACATTACGAAGGGAAAAATTGTACGCCAAATTCAGAAAATGTGAATTTTGGTTCGATCGTATAGTTGTCCTGGGACATGTGGTTATGACACAAGGAATTAAAGTAGACCCTAATAAAGTTGAAAACCAACTAGTTCAGACCGATGAATGTAGGCAAAGTTCGTAGTTTCCTACGACTAGTCGGTTATTATCGGAGATTCATTGAGGGATCTTCCAAAATAGCTGGGTCGATGACCCAACTAACCCGAATGGCGTAAAATTTCAATAGACTGAGAAGTGTGAGGAGAGTTTTCAAGAACTGAAATAGAAATTGGTTACAGATCCAGTTTTAGCTATGCCAGAAGGGTTCAAATAGATTTGTTATATATAGTGATGTATCCAAACAAGGTTTGAGATGTGTACTGATGTAGTTTGAAAAGGTGATCACATATGCCTCAAGACAATTAAAACAACATGAGCAAAACTATCCTATGCATGATCTATAATTGGTGACAGTAGTATACCGTGCACACTCTAAAGATATGGCATCACTACATTTACAGAGGAAAGTGTGATATTTATACAGATCATAAGAGCTTGAAATACTTCTTCACTCAAAAGGATTTGAATATGAGGCAGAGAAGGTGGTTGGAATTATTTAAGGATTATGACTGCACTATCTATTACCATTCAGGTAAAGCTAATGCAGTCGCAAATGCTCTTAGTAGGAAGACAGTGTGACAACTAGTTGCCTTATCCACAGCTCAGGTGTAGTTGATAAATGAGTTTGATAAATTGAAATTGGAAGTTGTCATTCCACCAACTCAAGTCACTGTAAAGATTGCAGCATTAAAGATTTAACTTACTCTTAGGGATCGAATCAATGATGCTCAAGACAACAATCCATTTTTTAGGAAAATCAAGGCAGTAGTTGGTACAAGTAAAAGAAAAGGTTTTGCAATAGTAAATGACAATGTTTTGATGTTCAAGGGATCATTATGTGTAACAAAGGATAAAGGGATAAAAAAAGAATTATTAAAGGAAGCTCACTATACCCCGTATACTGCACATCCCGGTGGTACTAAAATGTACCGAGATTTCCGTGATACCTTTTGGTAGTGGAATATGAAAAGGAAAATTGGACTCTTTGTTGAGAAGTGTATTGTACGTCAACAAGTTAAAGCAGAACATCAAAGGCCATCAAGACCATTAAATCCATTGGAAATTCTAGAGTGGAAATGGGAGCAAATAGCTATGGAATTTGTGGTAGGTGTTTTGAAGTCAACAAAAGGATATGATGCTTTTTGGGTAATTGTGGACAGGTTGACAAAGTTAGCTCATTTTCTTCCAATAAGAATGAGCTACAGTATGGATCAATTTGCTCAATTATATGTTAAGGAAATTTTCAGCCTATACGGATTTCCAACATCCATTGACTCAGATCAAGTGTTTACTTCTAAATTTTGGAAGAGCATGAGGGAGCTATGGGGGTAAAGTTAAATTTCGACATTGCCTATTATCCTCAATTTGATGGACAGTCTAAGAGGACTATTCAAATCTTAGAAGATATGCTCCAAGCATGTGTCTTGAATTTGGAAGGTAGTTGGGAATCACATCTATCATTGGTGGAGTTTGTATATAATAATAGCTTCCAAGCTTCTATTAGCATGGCTCTTTATGAAACTCTCTATTGAAATTGGAAATTGTCATTTCACCAACTCAAGTTACTGCAAAGATTGTAGCATTAAAGATTTAACCTACTCTTAGGGATCGAATCAATGATGCTCAAGACAACGATCCATTTTTTAGGAAAATCAAGGCGGTAGTTAGTACATGTAAAAGAAAATGTTTTGCAATAGTAAAGGACAATGCTTTGATGTTTGAGGGAAGATTATATGTACCAAAGGATAAAGGGATAAAAAAAGAAATATTAGAGGAAGCTCACTATGCCCCATATGCTGCCCATCCCGATGGTACTAAAATGTACTGAGATATCCGCGATACCTTTTGGTAGTGGAATATGAAAAGGGGAATTTGACTATTTGTTGAGAAGTGCATTATACGTCAGCAAGTTAAAGCAAAACATCAAAGGTCATCAAGACCATTAAATCCATTGGAAATTTCAGAGTGGAAATGAGAGCAAATAGCCATGAAATTTGTGGTAGATTTTCCGAAGTCAACAAAAGGACATGATGCTTTTTGCGTAATTGTGGACAGGTTGACAAAGTCAGCTCATTTTCTTCCAAGAAGAATGAACTACAGTATGGATCAATTTGCTCAATTATATGTTAAGAAAATTGTCAGCCTACATGGATTTCCAACATCCATCGTCTCAGATCGAGACCCAATGTTTACTTCTAAATTTTGGAAGAGTATATAAGGAGCTATGAAGGTAAAGTTAAAGTTCGACACTGCCAATTATCCTCAATTTGATAGACAGTCTGAGAGGACTATTCAAATCTTAGAAGACATGCTCCGAGCATGTGTCTTGGATTTGGGAGGTAGTTAGGAATCACACCTATCATTAGTGGAGTTTGTATATAATAATAGCTTCCAAACTACTATCATCATGGCTCTTTATGAAATTCTCTATGGTAGAAGATATAGATTCCCAGTTCATTGGGAGGAAGTCGAAGAAAAACGAATTTTGGGTCCAAAGATTATTGCAAGGATAGTGCAAGTAATTGATAAAATTAAGGACATAATAAAGTCTGTTCAAGATAGACAAACAAGCTATGCAGATCTACTGAGAAAAGCAATAGAATTTGAAGCCGGTGAGAAAATATTTCTTAAAGTGGCACCAATAAAAGGAGTTCTTAGATTTGACAACAAGGAAAAGTTGAGACCTCAATTTATAGGTCCTTTCAAGATTCTAGACAGAATTGGGAATGTAACGTACCTTCTAGCATTGTCACCTAGACCATCGGCAATACATAATGTATTCCACATGTCGATACTTAGAAAGTATGCACATGATCCCAAGCATGTGATAAGTTATGATTCATTGGAGGTACAAAAAGATCTAACGTATAAAGATGTTCCTTTGGAGATTATCGAAATGAAAATACATGCACTATGGAAGAAAGAAATTGCCTCGATTAAGGTTCGATGAAAAAAATCATAGAATCGAAGAGGTTACTTCAGTGAAAGAAGAGGAAATAAGAGCCAAGTACCAGAGCTTTTGGACAAATAAGGTAATTTTGAGGACGCAATTATTTTAAGGGGAAGGAAATGGATGTAACACCTCGGATTTTAATTATATTTTCATATGGGCTAAATCAAATATTGGTCATTTAGCAGATGAAATGGTCCATGCCAACCTTGTCGTCACATTAAAGTCCAAAAGTTGAAATGATAAGCACAATCCACTTAATCGTATAAATGATTTATTTTGCATAAGTATATTTTTTTTGAAATCATCATTCGTAATTTGGGCAAATATTTAAGTATTTTAAAAGTCAATAAAAATATATCAATATTATACTTATTTTGTAGCTCGTGCTAAGTATCATAAATTGGTTTAAAAAGAAATAATTTTGGACTAATCATATTTGAATTATCTTGATAAGAAGGAAGATATTCTAAATTCTATATTTTATATATAATAATAATAATTATTATTATTATAATTATATATATAAAATAGTGGAATGACACAATGGAAACTTTATTGGCAATTTCAAAACATAAAATCAAGCATTATTTTATTAATATATTTAATTAATCTTTTCCACTCCTTCAACCGTCCCACCATTTCCACTCACTATGATTGATTTGAAATAAATAATAGGTTAATTAACCTATTAAATTCTCAGCCTAACGTGTGGTCATTTGTATTTTTATTAATGTAAGTGAATATTATATATAAAAAAAAATGTGTGAGAAGCCTTTTTTTTTTTTTTTACACATATACATCTTCACACATGAATACACAT